AAAGGAAATAAAGGAAAGAAAATAATTCTGAGTTCTGCTTATGTGGTTGGACAAGCTGCATGAGTGTGGGCCAGACAGAGTCAGGCATTTTGAGAGCCATGCCTTATTCCTGTTTCTGTCTATACAGGGTGCAATGCACATTTCTTTATTGAATGAATGAACTGGAGACACTCCAGAAGTGAGCTGTTTCTCAGAAATATGTATAAACAGTTCAGCTGGGAATAAATCTAAGGTGGCAGTGGCAGAGAGCAGTTAAAACAGAGATATGGGTCAGACTCACAAGTTTTACTCATGGTGCCAGTTTCTAAGTATTTGGTCCAAAGGATCTGAATATACTTGCTCTGGAGCCTGTGACCGTCTGCTATGATGGCACTGTGTCAGTGCATACACAAACTAATGGTGTGCCTGATTCATTTGGTTTATTCATGTGGAAATTTCTTAAACATATCAATTTTGCAAGGCTTGGAAAAAGCTGAGTGGTTATGTGAAAACTATTTTCTATGAGTTTGGGCCTTGGTTTGAAAAGAGTAAATGTGGCTTTCTATTGCAGGGTCTGCTTTCCATCCTTTTCCTCAGATGTGAAAGTGACTTGTAATTGCCAGTTTTAAACTAAATCCTGGAAGAATAACAGTGATTCATAAGTGTTGGTAAAGTGCTACTGAAATCTGGGATGTATTTACTACCATTGTTTAGACATCTTAGATGAGACTTTCATTGGTCATGATAGAATGTATGAAAAGACAGCACATTTCCAACTGGTAGTAGCATTTCTTACAAATTGTTAGGGTAGAAGCTAGAGGCAAAGAAATTTTCAGAAATATAGGATTGCAGCATAAATCCTATTTTTAAAATGCCTTTAGTGCCACTAGAATATAAGTCATAGAGTAAAAGCTATAGAGCTTTGCATTCTCTGTTGTTGATATAATGGTGTTGTCTGCTATACCAAAATCCCTACTATGTTCTGAATTCAGAAGACATTTAATTTTACCCACTTTATTGCGAGAGTCTGCCATTCTCACCAACCTGAGGCTAACATAATATTACAGAAATGCATTGTGGGAAGTCTTCACTTTCTGAAACCCCAGCTATTGACTGTTGCCTCGGGGGAATGAGGAGTGTGATGTATGTGTTCCTGCTGGAGTGACAAGCTTTGTGCATTCCCTATCCATATGTCATAGACACTCCCCCTAAGAGCCAGTTTCATGCTCATCTCCTTAATTTTTGCAAGTATGAAAGGAAGAAAATCTAGAGTAAAATATGAAAGGTCCTTCATTGTTTTTCTAGGATGCCCTTTCCAACTTCTCAGAAATAAGAAAGGCTCACAATCTGATGTGTCATAGTATTGCTCTGGGGTTTTAATTTGAACACATGTGCCTGTAAGAATTTACATTCACCATCATTCTTGTGTGAAAGCAGCATTAACACACATTTAAGGTAACCTATACAGCCTATGTGGGAAATACACATTTGTGTTTTCCCACCCATAAATACATCTGTGTGTATATACCCACCAGAAGTTGAAAATCCATGGCCCACAGGCATATTTTGTTTGACTTATCCACTGTCTTAAATATATATATGAATTAGTTCTCCAGTATTTGAAAGTGAGGGTATTTTGTTAAAAATATGAGATCTGATAAATCTTGAACAATAGGATGATATGGAACCCTGAAGATAGATCCCACAAGGCAATGACTGGTTAGAGGTGAGCAGCAGCAGCCCTGCAATGGAGCTCCCATTTTCTGTACCCAGGCGTTCCCTGTTCATTTAAAACTGGCCAGCTGTCCTCATTCACATTACCTGCCTATCCCTATAGACATTCACAGCTCCAACCACTGAGTCAAATTTGATAACTAAAAATTATCTAGATGGGGTGAATGTACAATAACTTGTCTAAACCAGGATACTTTGAAAGTCAAAAGGGATACCGTCAATAATCACATCATGACCATAAGCATAAACCAGGACTGTCCCAGACGAACTAAGAAATATGGTCTTCCGATTTATATACCACAACATTCAACCTCTTATTTCTTATAGTGAGAAAACTGAGACCAAGAAGTAATTTGTCTGCCCTCGTCAATAAATAAATCAATGATAAGTCTGCCCTAAGCTACCTTGAATCCCAGTCTACTACCTTTTCCAACATAATGTAATGCATATACTATGCAAGAGTCCACAACCTCCTCAAATGTGTGGATTTTTATAAGTAATAATTAACATGTAACTGATGTCCTGTGGTAGCCTACAAATTTATAGCTTATATCCATGGCATTTTATTATTAATCTAATTAATGATTTGGATGCCTAGAAATGTATAAAACATTGATAAGCCTGAGAACTACAGAGTAAACACAAAGCTTCTCATTTTACTAGATATAAGAAGAGACATATTTAGAAGTACTAAATGAGTACTAGAGATGGAGAAAAAACCTTTATAGCAAAAATCTCCCATCAAGTGAGTAGATGACAACTGACTTGCCAACAAACAGTGTATGTTGACTGATCATCGGCTATTGTGTGGTAATTAATACTAATTGTGTCTTCAAGAGATGTCCAAGATCCCACATTCCTAAATCTTTGATCCACTATGTATAGCCGTGTTGGCTTTCCAAGAGATATTTTTATAGAAAGCACTCTGGATGAGACAGATGCATGCTGTTAATCACTTGCTCAGTTTCAATCCCAGACCCTTGTCTAGTTTTCTCCTGTAGTGGGTTTTGTGAGCATTGGGGGTGCCTCTTAGCCTCTTGTGAAGGCTGAGAACAAAAACCAGTCTGAGTGTCTCTCAGTCTCAGGACATCTTTTTCCAGTGCCTCATGTGATTCTCACTTCTCCTCCTGAGGAACCTTATGAGAAGCAGAGCTGGCCTGAGACACCATCCCTTTCCCTTGCAATATACTCTTAGCTCTCCAGATGTAGGAGACATGGCCAGGGGCTCATGTGACCATTCAGCCCCCGGTAGATGAGGAGGGCCAGGAAAAGGTAAAGTGAGCACAGATCTCCTTTATTCCATGCTAACTTTTTGCTCCAACTGCCGCATCTTCCCTAGTTCCTGGAGGTGCCCTTGTCCTTTGACCTTTGTCAGAGCTTCCTCTCCGTGGGGTGCCTTTAGAGGAGGGACCAGGGACCAAGTCTGGTCCTTATAAGCCTCACATGGGTAGCATTTTCTCTATTGTAACTCAAAAAACTTTAACAACAAATAATGGTTTCTAAATGAGATCTATCTGTCTATCTATCTGTCTGTCTGTCTGTCTGTCTGTCTGTCTATCTATCTATCTATCTATCTATCTATCTATCTATCTATCTATGAATTTTGTTTTTATATGGAAAGAATGACTGTAGAAAAATATAGATTGTAGACTTTTATTGTGTTATGCCCAGGCTGGACAATCAGTACTGCCAAACATGTCTCTTGTATCTGGTAAAATGAGAGTCATTTCTTTAATACTTTACTCTCTAATATTTTCAATGTTTCAGTGTTTTAAACATCTCTGGGTGTTCGGTGGTCCAAATAATTAATTAATAATCCTATCACTGGTGATATAATAAACCAATTTATAGGCCCTAAAGCGGTGCTGTCCAAAAGTTCTGTGTGCTTGCCGAGCCCTTGAAATGATAATATGTGGTTGATATTGGTAATATTAAGTTAATTTTGCTTCCTTTTACTTTCTTAATATAATTACTAGGTAAAATTACCTGTGTTGCTGGCACTGTATTTCCATTGAAAGGAGAGAAGTCTGCCTGTGGTTTCCTAGTGGAACTTCCTAGTTTATTAATAAAGCTTCAGTGTGGTAGAGATAGCATCACGGGCCTTTATGTTTACCTTGATGGGAGAATATGGTGAAAAGATCAGAACATTTTTCAGTAAGTCAGGCCCGTTTTTAAAAAGAGTTATCTCTCTCACATCCCTGAGTGCTTGTTTCCTGCACAGCTCTTTGCCTCCCCAAGCCTCGGAGGGCACCTGTTCCTACACCAATTAAGCTTCTGTGCCGTATCACCCAGAAGGCTCTTGGGAACATACAGTGCCAGCTGTGGGCACCATATGGAAAAACCATACCATATACATATGTAGAGCGTATTTCTGAAGCCAGAAGGAGTGTAGAGGAGTGTGTAAGCGATCTAGCTTTATCTGTGCCTTGTCATTGAAAGTTTTAATCATTGAAATATCTTTAGGCCATAAATAGAATCATGTAGCAAGATAATTCTGAGATAAAACCAAATATGTACTTTTGTTTTTATATGGACATAGGTCTGTGTATGGATGTTTGAAAATGTAGGCAGAACATTTGGATACAGATGGGTTTGACTTGCAATACAGTGTATGGAAAGGGATGTAGAAGTGGGGCCTGTCAATCTGCTCAAGCAGAGTTTTTCATATGGAAACAGAGATTTCCTCTTCCCTAAAATAGTTGGAGAGGAAGTTCTGTTTCTGCTGCCACCTAGTTTAGGTACAGACTCCACTTCGACGGCTGCCGAAGACTGTAGAAAAGGTCATAGTCTTGGACTAAGAGCCTTGGAGATGAGCTCGCATGCCCTGCTGAGCGTGACCAACAGCCCCACGTAGGGTGGTACCACTGGGAGTCATGTTTCCGCCTGCGTTTTCCTTTGGAGTAACATCTTTCCTTCTTCTTTTCCTTCCACTTCTTCCAGGCAGGACAGGGCTGCTTGCTGATCTTTTGCCCAGTTTTGCTGTGGAGATTATGCCAGGTATTCAGTCATTTAACTCTTTATTTGCTTGATTTGCTATCATTCCATCTGTCTTGCTTTTGCTTTAGTGACTAATTTCTTGTTTAATCTATTTACACATTTGTCTATATATATCTGTGATCTTTTGCAGGATGAACTGAGCCCATTGGAAGAGCTTTTAAAGTGTATTCCTTCTGTTTCTAGGCCTTAAAATAATGATAATTAAACTTGGGCTGACAAATTTGAGTCCTAGTTCTTCAGTGTCAGGCACCTTGGAAGTCTCCATGCCCACCTCACTATTTTATCTGTACCCAGAGAACTTTTGAAATTCTTAACAAAGTCATTATTTTCATGTTTGCCTATTTGTTATTATTCAATCATGTTATTCTGAATTGTATTTTTTATTACATGGTTGAAACCCTTTTTCAAACCTTAGGAAAGATATGTACCCGTCCAGCATTGAAAAATACACATTGGGCATGTGGTGGCACATGCCTGTCTCCACAAAGCTATGGAAGGCTAAGGCAGGAGGACCACAAACTTGCGCCCAGTCAAAACAACTTAATGAAACCTTGAATCCCTTAGAGTCCCATGGACAATATGTCAAGCACACCCACCCCAAATATACATCTCTCTCTGTTGATGTAGCTTCGGGTGAATGTACCAGCCTAAGCAAACCAAGTCAGTTTGGTTGAGCAATGTATTTCATAATGGAAGAAAGCACATAGAAAATCAAGAATGAACAGTGGTGAAGACAAGCCAAACTCAAGAATTAAGAAAGGATGGGATTTAGTTTTATTTTGGAGAGTTTCTGTCAGGGTTTTAAGAGCACTCTAAAAGCAGAAGAGGGATACAAAATATTTCCAGCTATTGGTTTTGGCTTATTTGATTTTTTAAAAAAAATATCCAGAGTCCTCACAGTTGAAGCTCGCTAATCATTCTTGTATGAATCTTTCTAGCCCTCTCCCATTAGCGGGACAGCCCAAGTCCAGACAATTTTCCTGCCTTTGCTCCCAAGGACAGAAAGAGATAGCTCTTTGTAACCCCCTTATCAAAAAGTTCACCTAATTTGTCAGTATTTGCTCACAAAGCAAAACCTCACAAAAGTCCAGTGTTACTTGGTGATATTTCAAACTAAAAGTTTACATCTCTGGAGTCTGTGGAGGAGTTACTATATACTTCATATCGGGCCTTTTCCACCTGAATATCCTTCCCTTTGACTCCAAGAATCTTTAAGCAGATAATATTCTTTTGTCCTTTAAATAAAACCTGCCAGCCATTTTCCCTTCAGTGCCTGACATAAGTTGTAATCACTACTCCACACAGCTCAGTAACCTGCAGGACATCACTCAGGGAGGCTGAGGCAGAAGGATCACAAGTTCAAGCTCGGCCTGGGAACTTAGCAAGATCTGATCTAAATAAATAAATAAACAAACAAACAAACAAATAAGTAAATGGAATGCAAGTCAGTGCAAAAGCCCTGGGTTAAATTCCAGTACCAGACAAACAAAACAAAACAGCTCCTTAAGCTCCTATCTGTCTCAAGCCCTGTTGAGTTAGATTACTGCCAAGACCTGGCCCAGAGCCTTGCTATCTGCTGTCCTCAGCAAGAAGGGTACAAAACCAGGACTAAGCCTGCTTAGTCCTTCACTGCAGAGAGGCTGGCCTGCTTAATTTGAATGTATTTAATGGGTAAGTGAGGAAGGACATTCCGGAGACATACGTTGTTTTCTCTCCGAGGAAACTCTGTTCCAACCAAAGGTCAAATGATGTTACATGGTCACAAACTTTTTATGATAACAATATGTCATATTTTAAAACTCCCAAATGAATGCCCATTTAACTGAAAGAATCCTTAACCAAAAGAAAAAATTTTAAGTGTACATAAAGCTCATTGTAAAGGGACATTTTGACAGATGGCTTTAACCAAAGTGAATTGCTTTAGTCTTTTAGCTTCTAAAGGGGAGCAGAGCCCATTGCACTAGGTCTGCATGGGTCGCCAGCCAAGTCCTGATAGTGCAATATTGAGACAATTCGCTTGAGGGCCACAGTCATTTTTATCTAAGCCAAGTAAGATTTGTTGCCTTCCTCTTAATCTTTTGGATGGGCAGATGAAATCCAATTCATGTTCAGCCTCTGGCAGAGCTGTGAAAATAGCAGGAGTTAAATCAACAGACTCAAACACATGCAGGTCATTTGTGTAACCATTTATCACCGCTCTGAGCCATGTTGGCCCATGGCTATGCCAGCTCAGTAGCATGGTCAGCCTGAAGGTGTTCAAACCAAACCTATTATCCAGGGCTGGAGACACTGTCTTCTCTATGTGAGATGATGTCTCCAGGTTTTTTAAGCCATATGTAGCTCTCCAAGTAGAAACAAGAAGTTTGGATCTCAGTCCCAGTGCTGAGAACAGAAAAACATTGATCAGCAGGGCACACAGGTGGATACTTTTGGGCCTAGACCACCAATGATGGTCTAGCTGTGTCTAAACAGAGAGGCCCCTTTCTCAGGATTTACACTTAATAGACAAGATTAAGTTGACTCTAAAAGGTAGGTATTCTCAAGATTACCACTGCATAGCCCAGCAGTCAGTCTCTCCCACCAACCGCCAGAGCATTCTGTTCTGATACTACAATCTATTTGGTAAACCTTCCCCAGGTAGGGACCCTAGAATCCCCCCATTGCTTTGTACTGTGCTGGTCGTTTTGCGTGCCCAGTGTGAGACGTAGGTAACCTTCCCTCTTCTCCGCTTCTCCAAAGTGTCCAGGTTCCTCTCATGCTTAGAGCCCCTCTTGTGTTTGGGGGTCCCCTAGGAAGGTGTACTCTCTTCCCCAGGTCCTCCCCTGCCTCCCTTCACAGGGGGACATTAATCAGACCATGCCCTATCCTGGAGGCAGGCCACCTCGAGTGTGGGTTTCTCTGTGTGTCCTTCCAGAGTGGGTGTTTGTTGGCCTGGTGCTCCTGGGAATCTTCCTCTTCTTCGTCCTCGTGGGGATCTGCTGGTGCCAGTGTTGTCCACACAGCTGCTGCTGCTATGTCCGCTGCCCCTGCTGCCCGGACTCCTGTTGCTGCCCCCAGGCCTGTGAGTAAAGGAAGAATCAGTGGAGAGATGTGGCGTGACTAGAAGAAATGTCACCTCTCCACCTGACAACTGTCTACCTTGAGTTCCTCCTTCACTTCTTTTCTTCCACCCCAAAAATTGGTCATCCCAGGCCCTCTCCTCTATGTGAGCCCACGGCTTCCGGGATGACCACTTTGTTTTCTTCCTCACCTACATGTACATCTCCGTGCTTTCTATCCACACCATCACTCCATGCCTTCGGAATTCTCACTGATATTGCTGCTCAGAGAAAGGGCAGGTCCAGGACAGTGAAGTTATGGGCTAATGATTTTTCTTCTTTTGGGGCATCCAAAGTAGGAAACCTCCACTGATTATCCCCCTCCCATGCAGAGAATGTCTTCTGTTATAAACAGAGCGTGCAAACACCGATGACCTCTGGGCACCTTCCAGCAGACGCTGATAGCTTTACTTATTTCTGTGATGAAATGGGCCACAACAGGAACTCATCCTCATTTGGGGATTCACCATTTCACCTTCCTAGCCAAATCTATACAGGCATTCCTTTTGGCTCCCTTCCCATAAGCCAGTCTTGGAAGAGAGAGGTGCACTGTGTATGCTTTAGCAGTAAAGCAGTGTTAGGAGTTTTGATATCATAGAGCAGGAGCTGTGCACAACCCTGTTGCTTACTGTGCTTTTCCTGAAGAGGCTCTGAATCTCCCTGGAAGCAGCCCTGGGCAGCCCTGATGCTAGGCCTGTTTCAGAGAGGTGGAGGCCACCCACATACAGAGTAAGCAAGAGTGGGCCGCTGCTGTCACTGGGGGTGCTGCAGTGACGCTCCCAGAACCATGTAATTATCCAGTTGCCAGGTACCAAATACTGCAGTTCCTTATGTCACTGTCTTTCTGACAGAGCTGGAGGAGGCCTGGGGAGAATCCACACAGTCCTAGGAGAGCATGCATATGCCCAGTAGCCCCCCCCCCAAGTGCTTCCTCAGGGGTTTTTGGCTGAGGGTTGTGGAGGGTGGGACACAACATAATCTCTCTTGCTCTTCATCTCCCTCCACAGTGTATGAAGCAGGGAAGGCAGCCAAGGCCGGGTACCCTCCCTCTGTCTCCGGTGTCCCTGGCCCTTACTCCATCCCCTCTGTCCCTTTGGGAGGAGCCCCCTCATCTGGCATGCTGATGGACAAGCTGCACCCACCTCCCTTGGCACCAAGTGACTCCACTGGAGGAAGCCACAGTGGTAAATGTAGTTCCAGCCCCTGCCCCATGCTTGTCTTGGGCCCCCACACTGGTTGCTTGGTGATGAGTCCAGCCCGTTTAGTAAGGTGTCCTTGGGGTAATGTTGATCTCCATTCCAGAAGGGACACTGTCCATTGTATACTTGTAGCTTTGAAGTGTATTTTAGGCTTTGCAAGGGCTGTGGGACACTGCTGAGCCCTGCTGTCTTTCCAGGATCCACAGTAACTAAAACTACAGGGAATATGCAAACTACTCCTTGAATGCTGACCATTAGATAAATAGTTGTCTCACCACTACCTAACGTTTAGGACTACTAGGTACTGTGTGGGACAGCAGGGTGGGTAGGATGTAGTTTCTCTAACAAGCAGTATCATCTAGTCAGGGAGAGAGAATAGATCTTTAAGACTATTAGAGGCTGACATGTATGAAAGAGATAAAGTAGTTACAGAGAGGCAGAGAAATTTAGGCTGGGCCTAAAGGAATGAGTAAGACTTAGGAACTAACAGGAGGAAATGTTGAGTATGTCCAAAAAAAGGAAGGCCAGTGCAGTGAAGAACCAAGCCTGGAAGAACACAGTGTGTAGTATCTGACTTGTCAGAATGGCTGGAAGAAGATAGAAGGATGCTGTGGAGCCAGCTTAAAGATGGCTTTGTGACTCTGCGGAAGCAGTGGGCTTTGTGGGGTGAGCAGGCGAAAGCCCCTCCCGGCAGATTCCCAGGTTGAGAGATGGCAGGATGACAGATGAGTAGTAATTGGGAGAGAGGGAGCCTAAGCTCTGACAGATGTCGTGCAGCTGTGCTATGTGACCAACAGGCTTATGGTGGAGAGAGCAGGGGCAAAGTACTTGGGTAAATCTAGGAGATGGTTTGCAAGAAGCAAGGAGATGCGAGAGAAGGAATGGAAGGGAGGCTTTGCGGGAACTCCAAGCTGTTACTGATGTAGATCACAGACATGAGTAAAAATATTGCTAAAGAGAGCAGATCTAGATGAAGAGCAGCTCCATTTGGTGTCTGGTGAATTTGTGCAGAGGTGAGGAAGAGAGGTGGAAGCGCAGAGTGTGATGGAGAAGTAGGGGGCTTTAAAATAGAGCTTTCCCAGGGCGTTTGAGCAGGGCTGCAGGGTAGTGAAGCTTAAGATTGTGTGCGTCGAGGATTTAGAGGGTGATGTTTAAATCCCTAGATGTGGATGAGCTGCTAGGGCTGGAAGGATCTGGACTTTAGAGAGAGAAGCGAGGGTCCGGCTTACCTAAGCAACCACCAGTACCTGACTGTGGCAGGTGTGGATATCCTCAGTGAGTAATCAGTATTTATGTTTTCTCCCCCTGGAACTATTAGTAGAATTCTGATGTGTGAGAGTAGGAATGAGTCATGAGCTGAGAAGTCAAAGTTAATGATCAAGGACAATCAGGGAGCTAGAAAGGAAGAGTCAGTATAGCTCATTGCCCAGAGGACAGAGTGGGCAGAAGAGACATTACTGAAACTTATCTCAAGGTCTTTACTTTCTGCATTCTCTGCTCTTCCTTTGCCTTCCTCTCTCTGGTCCCCATAAATCTTTCATTCTCTTACTTTTTTTTAATTAGGCAACTTATCATAATAAAATGAATCTTATTTACAGGGTATCAAATGCTTTCTCTTTCATGTTTTCTGTCTTTTCTCATTTCCTGTTTGTTGCAATTTAATCATTTTGGCCCCATCTTGCCACATGAACCAACTGCAATTGGAAGTGGCTTTGAAGAGAGAATATATTATTTCACAAAGGAAGAAATTGCAAAGTAAAGTAATTTGCAGCACCTCACTCTGCCACCCTCGTTCACCCTCAGTACCTCCTCTGTCCTCTTGGCTGACTCCCCTGGCAATCCTTGGATGACACCAGAGTTTTAGGTACTAAATGTCTTCAGAGATGGAGAAAGTGCACTACACTGTCGTGCTACTTTCCCTGCAAGTGAGGAAGAGTTTTCCAGGAGTTCCTTTGCCCTCCACTAGACTTCTTGCAGTTTCATTGACTAGAGTTGTGTTCCATGCCCATTCCTAAATTAGATGGGTTTGAACTGATCAAGACTCACTTCTTAGACCGGGACAGCCATTTGTCTCAGAAGTGAACACAGTCAGTACTGTTAGCCAAGTGACAGAAGCAAGATGGCAACCAGGGTCTAGCACAGCAAGGCTGGCCACATCATGATTATCTGTCTGTGGAGCTGGCACAGAGCACTTCCTGGTCTCTGCAGGCACATTTCTGTACTCATAGTCTCTTGGGAAGCAGGCATGATGGCATTCGGCTAATCCTTCTGTTAGAAGGGTGGTGTAGGCCACTGTAGACTATTCTGTGAAGAACTTTAAAAGTGTTAAAAAATGCTACTGTTTAAAAATGTAAATTTAGCCACTTCATATGCTACTTTAATTTTAGGGTAATCGTCTAGCAACATAATTTTTCAGATCACATTTGTATACAATACTCTTTTGAATACTGTACAGTTTAAAAGGCATCTTTGTTGAGCTATGTATAGTGGAGACAGTTGTTACCAGATGGGAGAGGGAGAAGAGGCCTCCTGATTCCTTTTTCCATTCTTCACAGCAGTTGCTTGACACTCTTTCTTTCTTTTTTCTTTTTTCTTTTTTCTTGAGGCTTTCTTTGTTACAACAAAAAAAGATACTGTCCTCCTACTTTGGATCCACCACTTTCAACTTTGTCAAGGTTCTGTTTATTGAATGTCCATACTGTACCTCATTTCTGATTCAGATCTCCCATTTTCCATTCTTTAATAAACTCTTTCCTATCAGCATCAAAACATGCTCAAATCTCACCCATTAAAATACAATGATCTGCAAAAAAAATTTCTAAAGTCTCCTAATATTACTTCCCTGACCCTTTTTGCCATTTACAGCCAAACTCCTTTAAAAAGAGGTCTGAATGTTGAATGTCTCTATTTCTTCTGCTCTCATCAGCACCTCAACTAACTTCCATCTTGCTGTTGCTATTAGGATTCCAGACTCCAGCTCCTGCCAGCGTTGCCTGATGGCTAGATCTAATGGAAGCTTTCCTGTCCTCACCTCCTGCAGCTTCTCCAAAACCTTTCCATCCCTGCCCAATTATTTCTCCTTGCTCTTTGATCCTTGTAGTCTTTCTGCTTGTCTCTTCAGATACTGGTTATTCCTTTCTGTGCCCTTCTGTTTGGTCTGTACTCTCCTCTCTGGAAAATCCTATCTATACCCATAACTTCTGCTCTCTTCTACAAAGTATGATGGAAAAAAATGGTGTGTTTTTAAATTTTTCAGAATTATTACATTAAAAGACACATTGCTTTTGACTCTTCCCCTCAAAACTTCCTCTTGCTCCTAACATACTCATCCCATTGTTTTTGCCATTTTCTAAAGCAGGAAGTCTTTTCTTGAGTAAATTTTGTTGCTCTGTCCTGAATACCTTGATGTCTTGAATGGATTAAAAACATTTACTTTTCTTGGTCATTTTGATTTTTGGAAAGAGCCAGAACACACGTGGTGGCAGGTCTGATAAATAAGGTGGTTGAGGACACACCACAATGTTTTTGTGAGCCTGCCTTCCCGTTGCCTGGCACTGGGCAGCAGCACTCATATTTTTGATCAAACTTCTTAGAGATGACTTCCAGAACTGCTTCAGAGGGTGAAAAGGACAATGGGTAAGTTGTTAGAAGTCAGGGGAAATATTTTGTAGAGAATTAATGATTATATATATATATATATATATATATATATATATTTTTTTTTTTTTTAAGACAGAGTCTTGTGATTTGGTTTAGTGCCATTGTCCAACTTATTGTGTAGCCCAAGCTGGGCTCAAACTCACAGTGATTTTCCTGCTTTGTCATCCTGAGCGGTAATAGGTGTGTACTACCACACCTGGCTTTGTAATACATTTTAATTTAAATATTCAAGGACTCTGTGGACTAAGAGCCTGCTTAGGCAAGCTCAAGGACTGGGGTTTGTTTCCTGAGTCCAGGCGTGGTGGCTCATGCCTGTAATCCCAACACTGGGGAGGTTGAAAACAGGAGGATCACTATGAGTCCAAGATGTGTAGTGAGACCATTACCAAATATATAAAAAATTATATTATTGTTTAATCCTTCTTGTACATACATACCGATGATTCCCAATTACTACCTGCAGCCTCTCTTGCCCCTTAGTCCCGTATCCACCTCCTCTGGACATCTCGACCTGATGTCTTATAAGCACTTAAACCTCAGCTTCCAGGAAACAGACTTGAGCTGCTGCTGCTGCTCCACTTTGAACCAGATCCTACATATCTTACATCCAAGGATGGTAGCATTGTTAACTCACTGGCCTAAACCAGAAGCAGAGACTTCATCCTTAAGCCTTCCTTAGCACTCCCTTCTCTCAGCCAGCTGGTCACCAGAGTCCTTCACCTTCAGAGTACTTCAGGATAACCTTGAATTGGTTTCCTTTCTTTGGTTTCTTCTGCAGCTCTGGTCTGTGCTGCCTTCCCCTCTGACTTTGCTTAGTGCAGCTGTCTCCTTGTTGTTCTCTCTCGCTCTGCTTGTGCCTTACTCTGATCTGTTTTACTTCAATCTACCTGGCTTCCACTCATCTTTTGAAAGAATTGAGTAGATGAGTAGGGTTTTAAAATGCCATATTCGAAATTATATATATATATATATATATATATATATATCCCTACTGTATATGTACAGAGAATATGCAAATTTTAAGAATCACTTCTCCCACAATTGAGCTGCTGTCACCCCGGGGGTGGAATCTGGCAGCTGTTCCATTCTCCATAAACAGCCTCGCTTAGCTCATTAAGAGAGGACAGGAAGAACAAGGCTCTATCTGTGGAAGTCTACCTCAGAGATTTCTTTTGCAAGTTGGATTTTGGCTGCGAAGGGGGAAATTAGCTGAAAAATACTTGTGCCTTAATTGGGTCAAAAGTAGCAGCTCAAATCCTTTTTTTTTTTTTTTTTCTGGAACCGGGGATTGAACTCAGGCCCTTGCGCTTGCCAGGGAAGCGTTTATTCCACTGAGCCATCTCCCCAGCCCCTTCAAATCCTCTTAACAATAAGAATTTTTAAAATTATACTTTGGTGTCATAGGGAAGGTGCCACTATTCTCACTCCCCAGTGAAGTCCAAGGGGACGAGGCTAATGCGAAGACGAGTTGACGTAGGAAGAGCCACAGCCACAAAAGAACCAGACCAAGCTTGAAAGCAGAAATAAATCATCCTTAACCCCAGGCTAAAACATCACTAGGAAAAAAGTTAGTTTCCAAACATGCTTGCCCTTGGCCAATCATCTAGAATATTTCTTACTAGGATATCACACACATCAGAGAGCGCTGTGATCTTCAAAGTACAGACAAACATCAATCTGATGCCATCCTACGTATTTTTAAATTAAAAAACATTTAATGAACGCCCACGCATTTTCCCTGCCCTCCAGGAATTTATAGTCTAGCAGGGTGACTGCTGGGGACTGGTGAATGGAGATAAAATGAATAACAAATGCAGGCCGTAGGGCTGGTGAGATGGCTCAGTGGTCTAAAGCACCTACTTAGAACAAGCTTAGCAAAAAGCACAGGGACCGCAGTTCAATCCCCCAGCACCATATGCCAGCCAGCCCCGCCCCTGGTGGGCTGAGCTGGCCACACACACACACACACACACACACACACACAAATAAATAAAATTAAAACAAACAAACAAACAAAAAACAAATGCAGGCCCTATATGATAAGTTATGGTGTGGGGCAGGGTCAGAAAGGAAAATCTTGCCTTCGGAGGGGAGGGATCAAGACAGGGTCTCTGCTGATTCAAATACTCCTTTGTGACACAAAGCCGGGTTCTGCCAGGATGAGCGAATAACTTAGCATGACGCGCAAATTCTCAGCTTATCATTAAGAAAAGAAGCCTGCTTTTTTAAAAGGAAGAATTACCTAGACTTTTTAGTTACCGAGCCCAAATGGATGATGCCCCTAAAGTCTAATGTTCAATACTTTGCCTCTTTTTTTTTCGACAAAGTTGACTTAATTTAAATTTCTGAAGTCACAGACTGCTGTGACTGAGAAGTCAACACTGAAAGTATCTAGTACAGGGGCATCTCCTTAGAATGCCATTATTGAAAGGCAAAACTATTATTTTCATTTGAGGCTGTAGTTATTGTAACTTTTCAGAGACCTGATAACCTATGCATGCAGTCAAATCTGTACCATAATGTACAGTGTAATTTTGTTTTTAATGACATAGAAAACAATTTAAGTTTCAATCCAAGTGGCAATTAACTGAGAATCCTCCAGCTGTGGTTCAGTGCAGCTGCCTCCTGCCCCCAGCAGGGGATAGCTGGTGCATGGTTCCGTATTGCAACAACCCTTCCCCCCATGATCTGTATCACAAGTCACTGGACACTCACCCTAGAAGGGTTTTCCCTGTTAACAACACCTAGATAAAGCCACTGTTCTGGGTAGAGTAGGCCTCTCCCCAGGCCCATACACATGCTAGCATTCTTTACTTAATCATCAATAGTAATAACCACAAACCTAACCTTCCTGATCAAAATGCCTCAGTAAACCATCAAAGTGGATGATGTACATGCCATACTTCATAATTCATGGACAATACAGTTTTCCTGTCATAGTTTCTCTTTACTCATTCATTCGCCTTACTTATTCAATGACTGCATGAATGAATACATTCATCTGAACACCTGTTTTGAATGTCTGCAATGTGCTAGGCTCTATGCTAGATGCTAGTGATACGTGATAGGTGATAGTGGAAAGTCTTCCTGAGGCTTTATCTCTATAGATGGACAGTACTGAAAATACTCTTTCCAAAGAACCATAAACCTATTCCATTTTCAAGCCAGCAGTAATTCAACTTTTGCGAAGTGTCTGCTAGCTTTAAAACATGGTCCTTAGCACATGGAGAGCCTGAATGATAAAGATTCTTTTCCATCAAGAATTTTGATATCAGGCCTTTATCTAAATAACTTGAAACAAACCCAAATATATTAAGGCCTAAAATAAAAGTTCAAACTAAATTACTGTAAGTTTGGAAAAAGATCACAAGAGAAATATAAATCTTACCCAACTAGGAAAATTAAAGAAAGCCTTTGGAGGATGAGGCTGTGGTTGAGCTTCCATGAATAATTATGAAGACCTCCATGTGCTCCACTGATGTGGTCTTATCTGTTCTCTTTTCTTTAAGAGATTATTTAAAATGGAGGAAATATTATTTATATTTTATAGACAAGAAAACTGAGTTACAACAGGTCATCATTTATTTGAGGTTCCTCAGTAAAACGGTGACAGCATGACCACAAGATGCCCAATTCCCCATTTCCCAGTCCTATCTCACTTGCTAGACGTCACTGCCTTGGTAGAGACATAGCAGTTCTGTGGGATAATTACATTTTAATTGAACTGTCTGAACTACGCTCTAAACGCCTCTGCAGAGAGGGAAGAATGTGTAGCTTGATAAATAAAATCGTTTCTGCTAATAACTGCTTCCGCATAAGGATTATGGCTCTAGCCTCTGGGAGAAGGTGCCACTAAAAAGCATGGGCTGAGATTTGTTAAATTTTTCTAAATAATTTCACAATTTGAGGTGGCTGTGGACTGCCCAGTATGTTCTTAAATAGAAAATCAGTGCACCTGCAAACAAGTGTGTGGGCGACTTCTCTGTTTTTAGTGCCTGGGTTGTGGAACTTTATATTTTAATCTTCTACGTAAATAGCTTGTGGCCTGGGGATGGGGCTGTGCTCCCTCCCCTCCCCCATCATGGTAACAAGCCCAGAGGCTGCACAGCAGAGTTTTCGCTGGAGTGCATGCAGTCATGTGTTTTCCTTATATTTACCTTAAGTTGGTGGTGGGGAGTATGGGGCCTGGGTCTATGACTTCCATCCCATGGTATGGTCCTGCAGGTTGGGAGACAGGACTTGCTGCAGACCGTACCATCCATGACACACCTGAGAGTGTTTTCTACTCTGGGCTTTGCTTAGTTGTGTTCATCATCTCCTTTTTTTTTTTTTTTTTTTTTTTTTTTAAACTCTGTCTCTTCCTAGACTATTGAGAGGCAAGAGACCCTGATACAATGAGGCAACTGTCAATCAGACTACATGGCTCCACCTCTGGCACTGCCAAATTATTCCCAGAAAAGATATTAAAAAGTCCTCTGATCTAAAGTTTTCTCAGTCACGAAGTGCAACTGGTCACAGTGCTTCCTAGAGAGGTTGCAAGGGACAAATGACCATGTAGACATTTAGCACAGGACCTGGCACACTTCCAGTGCTGAATGAGTGTTGTCTAATTACCACTGTAGTTCATCCCCATGCCATCATTCCTTTCTTTCATTCCTTCCTTTACTGTGTACTAGGCCTGCTGATGTCTGGTCATCTTTGGGGGTGGCATTGGGCTAGACTTATATTTAAGTGGTATGGGGTTTACTTATTTATTTTTGAACTTTTATTTATGTATTTGGTACAGGGGCTCGCTACGCAGCTCAGACTCATAGTGATACTTCTGTCTCAGCCTTCCCAGCACTGAGATTACAGGTGTGCACCACCACATCCAGTTTCAGTGGTAGTACTGGGGATTGAACTCAGGTTCTTGTGCTTGCCAGGCAGGCACTTAGACTGCTGAGCTATCTCTCCAGCCCCAAGGAATAGGGTGTAAACAGCCTTTGTTTCTGACAGTATAAGTGATGGAGATGTAAGAGATGGAATTATTTCCCTGCCTTAGGGTTTTTAAAAAATTATTAGTAAGCCCTGAAAGTAATACCTGCTTGTAAGCACATAGCAGCAGGTTGAATTAATCGTGTCTAAAATATGTTAATCTTTTTCCTAAAAGGAAAATCCTGAAGAAATAAAATGGAACCATGATTAGAAATCCATGTGTTTTGCATCTTTTTTTGCATAGGAAGTCTAGAAGCTAATATTGGCTCTTATGTACCACCCAGATTAAGGGAATTTTGTACCATCTCCTAGGCAACTAGAGGCTTCCAGGGCTGGGGGTGGGGGAGGCTTTGTCAAGGTCCCTGATGTTTAGGTATCTGCTTTAAAGGGATGTGTAAACCCACCAAGGGAAGATGTGAACCTCTGACTCTGGAATGACGTGTCTTCCATCTAGAAGGCAGTGTTTCTTAGTGTGAATATCCTCCTCCTGTGGAGCTCAGAAGTTTTGAGAAGATAAACATTCAGTGGAGAGATGGGAGGTCAGAAGACAGGAAGCAGAGGGTATCATGACTAAAATGGAATTCTGTTGTTGGTCTTTAGGTCCTTCATTCAAATGGAGGGGATCTCAGGTTTGGCCCCAGATACATAAGTACAGGTGATTTCAAAAGAAGATTTTATAATTAGGAACCATGTTTTTTCCATTTAGTAAGATGAACATAGGTCATCTTTTTCTGATATTTTCTTTATTTTTTATTTCACCTTCTTGTGCTTTCTCAACAGTTCGCAAAGGCTACCGGATCCAAGCGGACAAAGAGAGAGACTCCATGAAGGTCCTGTACTATGTTGAGAAGGAGCTGGCCCAGTTTGATCCAGCCAGGAGGATGAGAGGCAGATGTGAGCACTGGCTGACTGTGTGTGATTTGTGCACCATGCAGGACCTCACAGCTAAGAAAGTCAGGAGGATCAAATTCAGGCAGCCCTGAACTTGAGGGTCACAGCTATCATAGAGTAAAAGGTTCTTTCTCTGTGAAGAGTAGACCGTATACCCCATGGTTTACGGTCTCTCCATGGGGCAGTCAGCGTTGATTGCAGCAACTCCGTAATCCTGGGTTAGAAATGTTTTATTAAAACAGTTTTCCCCCACTATCCTTTCAAGGTATAGTGAAAGTAATGACACGTTGTGAAGCTTCTGTATCACTTTTTTCCAACACTAAGGGCCCTAGCATCACCATCAGGCTGTCTGGTTGCCGCTTGGAGGCTCACTCAGGGAATGTGAAGACACAAGTTTAGCAAATGGATCTGGGAAAACAGGCTGACATTCATTCCCCTGGGCTGCCCAACCACGGAGATGGAGAGGAGAGCAAAGAGGCTGCTCTTTTTGTCAAAGAGCTTTTTAATTACCAAGTCTGTAGGTAGCTGGGCCCCAACCCCTAACTTATTCACAGTCCTCACAAACGCTGCAGCTGACACAGCTGATTCTTTGGGGTGGATTCCAAATTACTGTCTATCATAGAAGGCAGAACTGGGCAGGTCTGACACGAATGGGCTAATTATCAGTGGGCGCTGGCAGGCATGGTAGTGAGGTCACTGCGTGCTTTCTTTGAACCTTCCTCTTCTTGGAACCAGGGAGAGACTTGATGGAATTGTTGGGAAAACAGTCCCAGACTACAGGAGCTTTATTCAGATTAAGGACAACATATTCCACCCAGTTTGCAATTCTAAATTCATCCTGTCTGCGTTGCACCCATTGCCGCATCCTCCCACCGCAGGGACTATAAAAAGACCATCTCCAGATTGGAATGTCAGGAATGCAGATGTCACTGCACTTGACAAGCTAGTTGTAACAGTGTTGTCATGGATCCGGGTAAGGGGCCAGAGACAGCCAGGGATCAAGGAGAAACCTGAGTAGGGTATCTACCAAATCTCACAACTAGGGTTGGGGAGTTAAAAACTAAGGTCAAAATACAACAGTGGTTTAGGCTATGTCTCCCACCTGACTGTCTTGACTAAAATGGTCTCCAGGGGCCAACTGTTCATAAGACAGTGGATCTTGGATTTGAAGGGATCTTAGAGAAGGCTAGGTCAAGCTTTGCAGTGTACATACTGAAGACACAGAAGATCAGAGGGGGCAGTGACAGAATCAGGAGTAGAACCCAGCTCTTCTGAGTCCCAGTCTCATGATTTTAACACAAGTAATCTCTAAGCAAACTGAATGGCTCTGGCTGTAGCTCTGTTGCAACCATGGCCTTTTGGATGGCTTTCTTGCTTATGTAGTACTCCAGAATGTTGGAACTGGAAGGGACTTCTGTGGCTGTTAAATTCATCTCCTTCATTGTACAGCAGAGGACAGTCAGACAGACAGGGAAGCAATCAGGGCCAGTACCCAAGGCCAGTACAAGGACTGGAACTAGACCACCTGCTGCCTGCAGGTTAGCATTCAATAGCTGCATAGTAATGAAGTAGGAATATAGTTCACTCTGCTTCCAGATGTTGATTCTACTCCTGGAGAGCCAAGTAAGCCCTAGGGAAGATCACAGAATAAGACCATCTTGAAAAATCTCTTTGTAATATGGATCTCATGGTTTCAGGTTAGCGCAGGGAAGTCATAGATTCTGTAAGAATTTGGAGCTTGAGGCATAAACTCATGAATTTGCTAGCCAGTATGGGCCTCATTTGTTTTGTCTTTATATGTGAAAGTTGGCTCTTGAGATTTTTGTAGCCTGATGGTTCCTAGAGCAGGAGTCAGTAAACGAAATCTCCCAGGCTAAGGAGGTTCAAATTTCTGTTTTTGTAAATAAAGTTTTATTGGAGCACAGCCATGCCAATTCAGTTATGTATTATCTGTGACCATTTTCATGCTAGAGTGGCAGAATGGAATAGTTTTAGCAGCATGGCTTGCAGTGCCTAAAATACAGAAAATGTTTGTCAGCAGTTACATGATTGGATGGCTATGAAGTGAGGAATGTGGAAGTTCATGTTCACCTTGGCAGAAATTGTAGTGAAACACACATCCCAGCCAGTTATGAAACTGTGATAGCCTTTCTTATCTGCAGATATCAAAAAGGGTAAGCATAGCATCCCTGAAGTTTCAGGGAAGATCTGAGCCAATATTATTTTTCAATGTCCCACTTGGCCCATTTTAAAGTTCTTTTCTATACAGTTCCTAAGGAAATCATAATTTATGAGAATCATGACAGAGGAAATATTCTGAGTTTTTACTAACCACTAGGATCTGAGTTATTTTCCTTTAAAACAGGCATAAATTAGTTCATTCTCCTTGAAAGGAAGAAAAGTTTAAAAATTAAATTAAAATATAGAAACCAACTAAAGGCACGATCAAAATGAGTGGCATCCATGGTAAAAGCTGTCCCCAGGAGGTTGTGCAGGGGAAGAGTGAGGTTCCCCTCTTTGATGTGTGAAAGTTCTCCGATCCTCCCAAGGCTGTTGGAGATTGGGTGGGGTGAGGACAGAGGAGAACATGAGAGGCACATTTGTGTTTCCCAGGTCTTGGCTTATCTCTCCCTTGACTGCCTTAAAAATGGTAAGTGTTGTTTCAAATAATATTTTGAAGTCTTACTGAAAACAATTTTAGAAAATAAATGGTTTTGGTTACATTGCAAATAGGTTCACTAGATTTATTTTTTTAAGTAAAACGAAATTGAATACATTTTAAAGTTTTATAAATAGTTTCTCTCTCTTCTTTCTAGACCACGATTCTGGTTCTTATTCAAAAGTGCTTTGCCAAAAAAAAAAAAAAAAAAAAAGCTTCTTAGGAAAACAAGAAAGCTGTGACTAGAGAACAACCCCCTTGCACTGGAGCATAAATGGAGACCAGGCCAGAAGGGCAAACCACTCCCTTTTCTTCTCATATCTCCAGAGAACTGGCATACTAGAAATACTCTTTAGGGGAGGGAAAAAGTCTACCCAGGCCTTGGAAGTGTACTTGTTAACACTTGGGCAGGATATTTCGGCCTGTTCTGAAAGGAAGGTGTGTGGACATGAGGCGTACACTTCTCCTTGACCTTGTGGACTTCTAGCTATGCAAGGAGGGGCCAATTAAGGCTCCTCTAAAACATGGAGCAGGATTCACTGTGAAGGCCCCATTACTTGTGATTGCGCTGGCAGGAAAGATGCTGGGTTCTGTGGCTTCTTTTTTTGTTCCTTTTGGCCCAAATTGCTTGGGATCATCATGGCTCATCAATAGAATTATACAGGACTAAGAAAAACATTTCAACAAGGATGATAATATACCAGCAGGCCAGCTGCAGAGAGCGAGTTCTGGGAAGCCTGCCTTAGGTGGAACAAAAACAATTGTTCTTTTATTCCAAGAACAGAGCACGTAGGATGCCTCCCTTTCCATAAACAGTAGGCTTCAAACTGGAGCCAGTCACTGCTGAGCTGAGAACACAAATTCCACTAGTGCAGGTCCATAGCCCACCCAGGGCTGAGGGACCAGAGGGCCTCAAGTGAGAATCCTGGAGCCTTAGATCATTGCACCCAAAGAGAGGCCCCCTTCTTTTCTACCCATTAGAAAGCTTTGTCATGCCTGGTTTTGTCTTTACAGATAACAACACCATCTCTGAACTCAGCTCCCTGCATGAGGAGGACAGCAGTTTCCGCCAGTCGTACCATCAGATGCGGAGCAAGCCATTCCCTGTGTCTGGGGACCTGGAGAGCAATCCTGACTACTGGTCAGGTGTCATGGGAGGCAGCAGCGGGGCAACCCGGGGGCCCTCAGCTGTGGAATACAACAAAGAGGACCGAGAAAGCTTCCGCCACAGGTGATGGGTATGAGGGGGCCAGAGTAGAAGGCGTGTTAAAGCTGAGCCTATTGTTGTTATGTACAAGTATCTGTCTTCCACCTCGTGCTGCCCAGCCATGGCTCTTTTATAGGATATAATAGCTTATTGCAAGGAACTCTTGGGCATCCTTTGTAGAAGAATTCCTTTAAGGCCTTTTGTACGTGTGTGCCACAGGACCCTCAAGGAACCTTCGCATCTCTCTGCCCTCCTCACATATTTTTTCCTGGAACCTCTGACTTCCCACCCATCACAAGCATCATTGTTGATCATTTGTCACATAAGCGATAAAAATGCCAACACTTACACAGCTGCATGTAATTCTCATAACTCTAAGGCAGCTACTACTGCTATCCTTGTTTTAAGTGGGGGAAATACAAATTTCCAGCTGCTCAGGAACTTACCAAGGGTGTTAAAACCAATGAATAGGGAAGGCCAAGACTTCACCAGTTTTGGGGACCATTTCTCCTTGAGTGGCACTTTGTCACCACTCACTGTCCTTTGCTTGAAGGTCTGTAGACATCACTTTTTTTTTTTTTTTTTTACCAACTGCAAGTGTTCCTCTGGCCTCCAGCCAGGTAAGTGGGCCTTAGACCCTGAAGGAGGAACAGGCCTGTTTATGTGTCAACATATATTCCAGAGATTTGGGGGTGTTTTGTCACTTGGCTGGCTTGAAGAGTGTGTGGATGCAACATGCGTTATCAACTAGAGGGCCCATCCTAATGATCAGAAGGCCTTGGGTTGGGGAGATAGCTCAGTAGAATAAGTGCTTGCCTTGCAAGGGCAAGGGCCTGAGTTCAATCCCTGGTTACACACACACACACACACACACACACACACACAGGTCTCACTCTTGTGTTTCAGCACTGAGTAGCCCAGAGAGCATTTTTAGGCATCCAACTCCATTTTGATCCGTCTTACAAACGCATCAGGTAGCTTAGGTCACCCTCCCTTAATGCACCACCGGGCGTGTGAGGGGGCGCAAGATGATTGGTGCACCGGGTGCTGAGCCCAGGTCCTGCACGCAACCGCTGTCTCCCGCCTTCACGTGGCAGGCAGGGTGTAGTTCCCGTCACCCGCGCGGTCCCCTGACCCATCCTCCTCTGCCCGCAGCCAGCAGCGCTGCAAGTCCGAGATGCTGTCCAGGAAGAGCTTCGCCGGGGGCGTGCCGGCGGTGTCCATGGACGAGCTGGCAGCCTTCGCGGACTCCTACGGGCCGCGGCCTCGCCGAGCCGACGCCGGCAGCTTAGAGCCCCGCGGCGGCAGCCGCTTCGAGCGCTCCGAGTCGCGCGCACACGGGGGCTTCTACGCGGACGGCGCGCTCGAGTTCTTCGCGCCCGGGGACGCGCGCGCGCCGCTGCCG